TCTTCCACAAAATACCACGTGCGGGCGGCAGCCCCGGCGATTGAAACTTCGGGGCCCATGCGCGGAAGTCGGTTTTCGGAAGGGAGATAGATAAAACAAGTATACAAGATGAGTGTGGATGGGAGAGTTGAAAGGGGTCAACTTCAGCGAATGTACCTCAATCAGATTGAGGATGTTTTTAGCAAAGGCCAGCTTAGGAGAACCCTAATTAAGTTAATAACAATGTACCTACCTATATAGTTTAAGTTTAAAAAATTTGGCTCTCAAAAGAAATTTCAATCATTGTACTGTTGATATTTGGCTCTGTTGACTAATAAGTTTGCCAACCACTGACCTAACACATTTCTCAGAACCTATCCCTGTTATTAAGTGGAGTCTGACTGTATTCATAGACTTTTCAGAAGGAAGAGCATAGGGGGAAGTACTCATGTCACAAACAGTGGAGAAGGGATGTTGTAATGACATACGGGAGGGTGGGGAGAGGAGAGGGGGGAACTGTGAGGAACAGGGTGGTGAAGTCAGGGCACAACGTTCCAGAAGGAACGGGAGCATTACATTGAGAGGAGGGATCCGGCAGGAAGGAAATGCGTGAGGGGATGGACTGAAGAAAGAAGGAACTCACACATTAGTGTTCTCAGGCACAGAGTAGACAAGATGAGGGCTTCTTGCGTGGGGTTCAAGAGAACAAAAGTTAAACATAAACAAACCAGATGATGGTTCCAAAGTGGGATCTTTATCAGACAAGGGTGCGGGAAACAGGAAGAAGCTGCAATAGTTTGTGGAGATATGGAGTCTAGTGGAAGACAAGTCTAGAGAAGTTGGATAAACTGGGAAGAAGGAGGAGAAAGACTGTGGGGTGTGGTCTTAAACAAGAGAAAGAGAGAAATCACTAATAATCTCTCCAGAGGACGGCACTCACATGTCAGCTGGAATTCACTGACGTGATCCTGTACGACCCGGAGAAATCCGATCAAATAGACTCGGAAGATCTCCACCAGCTCAGTCACCTCCTCGTCACTCAAGTTGCCCTTGGACCAAGGCTTCAGGAAAATGGCAGTGCCCGACTCACTGTCCCAGCCATGAATCTGCAAATCGCCCAGCCAGCCAGAGCCCTGGTTTTGTGCCCAGGTGCTGTTGGCAAAGGACGATATCTGGATGAGGTGGAAAGTGGTCGGGCCCTGGAAAGCTGTGGGTAGTAAAAGGATAAGAAAAGTGAAAAAAAAAAGAGAGAGAGAGAAAAGCAGGAGGAAATGGCCAGGGAGGGGGGATGAAAACCAGAAAGGTCCAGAGAAAAAGAACCCAGAGTCTGAACAACAAAAGGCCTGAGACATTTGCCTGTGCCAGGGCCTCGGGCTCCATTCCCAACCCCAGAACGGAAGGAAAGGCTGGGGACAGATGGCCCAGACACGTACAATATGGACATGGACAGCATGCTTTTACCCAGACCCCGACCCCCACGCCGGGAGAGGCCAAAGCTGCTCTTACCTGGCTCGTTGTCACCACCTGGGATGGGAACCGCAAGCAACAGAAGTGGCAAAAGCAGCATTTCCCTGGGAGACAGACCTTCTGACTCTCAAAGCTGGCGTTTGATCTCTGAACCCAGCAAGCCTTTTTCTCAGCCTCTATAGTGACTTCCTCTCTCTTCCAACTGCCAAACCTCCGCCTCATCCACATCACGCACCAGAGAAAAGCTGTGCCTCCACCGCCTGGCCCTCCCACTCTGCTCTCATTTCCACTCCAGCCCTGACTTCCAGGTTGTCTTCTTGTCTCCTTGGCTTCCAGCGGTTGTCCCTCACCTCTGCTTTCTCGTGCTATCTTGGAAAAGCCCCCGGAGGCTTTTGAAAAGTTATATTTTTACCTCTTCAATCCTTTCTTGTAACATCGGTTAAATCAGAAGGTAATGTTAAACAACTGTCTGCTTTAACCTCGGAATATTCTTTTGATTTATCCACCCAACTCTGCCTTCCTCCTCACGGCCCTCTCTTCTCTGGCGCTCTATCCCAGCATTCTCAATGGCTCCTTTTTTTTTTTTTTTTAATCTCATCTCCTTTTCTGATCTTCCTAAAGCCATATTCTGGTGTGTGTGTGTGTGTATTGACAGTAATTTACAAAAGACAAAGCATTTAAAACAATTGGCCGGGTGGCTCAGTTGATTGGAGCATCTTCCCATACACCAAAAGGTTGCGGGTTTGCTTCCTGGTCAGGGGGCATAACTAAATAGCAAGTTTGATCCCCTGTCAGGGGCACGTATGGGAGGCAACTGAGTGATGTTTCTCTCCCACATTAATGTTTGTCTTCTTCTCTCTCTAAAGTCAATAAGAAAACATATCCTATGGTGAGAATTAAAAATAGTATTAATAAAAATAAAATAAAACATTTGTCCGGACTGCAGACCCAACTTCCAAAATCAAATAAGATAAATACTGTAGCTTATCATACAAGCAATATTATCTTATACCATAGCGATTTTTGAAAAGAAAAATTACATTGGCGACTGGCATATGACCTTCTTTACAGTAACTTCTGACCTGTGAAAGTTTGAGTAACAAATTATTGTGAGACAAGCAGAACTTTGGAAGTTATACTACATGCAGCTTCAGGCTAAGTCAAAAACAACTTCTTTTTTTCCTGTTTGTTTTTTCCGCAATCCCTTCACCTTTTTCACTCGGCCCTGCCTAACCTCCTCCTCTCTGATAGCTTTCCGTCTATTCTTTTTACCTATGAGTTTGTTTCTAACTTTTGGTTGTGGGTCATTAGATTCACATGTAAGTGAAATCAGATGTTACTTGTCTTTCTCTGACTGGCTCATTTCACTTAGCAGAATACTCTCCAGATCCATCCAGGCTGTTGCAGAAGGTAAGATTTCCTTCTTTTTTATGGCCAAGTAGTACTACATTGTGTAAATGTACCACAGCTTTTTTATCCACGCATCTACTGATGGGCACTTGTACTGCTTCCAAATCTAGGTTATTGTGAATAATGCTGCAATGAACATAGAGGTGCATACATACTGTCAAATTAGTGTTTTGGATTTCTTTGGATATATTCCCAGGGTGCATGAAATGGGTCATCATGGTTGTTGGGCTATGGACCTCAGAAGAAATTGAATGGAGGGAGACATCAGATCTAAAGGGAGTAAGCACACAGTGGGACAGTTGTGTTGCTCTGGGTTTTAGGCCATAGAAGGTAGAAATCTTGGGGAAAGATTTTTTTTAAAGCACGCGCACGCGTGCGCGCCACACACATACACACACACACAACAGAAGAAATCCTGAGGTGTCAACATCTGGACTAGCCCCCAAGAAGTTGATGCATAAAGAACTTTATGGCGGGATAGGAATAATGCGAAAAGACCTAGGAAGAATGTGAGAATGGTTCCCAGGAACAGAACCTTTTGAAGAATCCCTTAGCTGAGTATAATGAAGTTACATTCAAACAGCGATTGATTGTGGTCAGCTGACTGCGGCTCGGGAGCCACATGCGGCTCTTTGGCCCCTTGAATGTGGCTCTTCCTAAGCCTTAGGAGTGCCCTAATTAAGTTAATAACAATGTACCTACCTATATAGTTTAAGTTAAAAAATTTGGCTCTCAAAAGAAATTTCAATCGTCGTACTGTTGATATTAGGCTCTGTTGACTAATGCGTTTGCCAACCACTGGGCTAGATATTTTCATTCGCCTGAGTTAATCCAAGGAAGTAGACATAAAGTAACAGCCCCCGGTCTATCAACTCCTTGTTGATGACGTTATCTTTGGACCATGTGTGCGGGGAAATTACTGTGGCGTTTTTACTCTCCCAGCCATGAGTTTGTGACTCATCCAGCTAACATCAACTGTGATATTCTGCTTAGGATTGGCTGACAAATGATGAGGTCAGAATGCGATGGAACCAGATACATTACTGGACCACTGTGGGTGGTAGACGGTCAGGTGATTTCAAGGGGAAAAAAGAAAGTAGGAAAGTCGGAAGGAGAGAAAGTGGAAATAAACCAGTTCCCAGAGGCGAGAAAATATATGACCAGTTTAACGTGTATTTTCCTGAAACACGGCCCTCATGCTCCCCCCACCATTCCCCAGGAAG